AAAAGACTGAACAAGAGAAACTTGTCTGGAAGCTTCACCATGAGAAAGCCTTTTCTTTCTAAAACAAACATGGCTCATGTTAGGTTTGTAATGTTGCATCTGAATAAACCCACAAAATGTCCTTTGGACAGATGACACCAACGTGGAGATGCTGTGCCATAATGTATAGCACCACATTTGGAGAAAAACAGATGCATCAAATCGGCATAAACACCTCATACCAACTGTCAAGCAAGGTGGTGGAGAGGTGGTCACTGAGTCTAACACATCAAGCAAGGTGGTGGAGAATGGCCAAAAAATTAAATAATAAAGGTGTTGCATTGGCCCAGTCAAAGTTCAGACCTCAAACTGACCTCAACTGATCTTGGCATACTGTAAACAGATGTCCACAAACATCAATGAACTAAGGCTACGTCATAAAGAATAGTAAGCTAAAATTCCCCCACAACCACGTGGTAGACTGATAGTCATACAGAAAATATTTACTTCAAGTTATTTCTATTAAAAGTGATTTTACAAGCTACTGCATAGTGCATCTATACTATATACTGAAGTTTTTATATACCAACAACCGTGCTAAAACAAATCTATGTGTGTATCTGGTGCACAGACTGTGAGGGTCTACCAGTAACAAAAAAGGTGTGAGCACCCATGCAGTTAGCTGCACGACACACGTTTTCTGCACAGTGTATTGGTAGAGTTCTTTCCCCAGGCAATGGCCCGTCAGGCCAGACAAGGAGGCCGGGTGTTAAAGTGCTAGCCGGGTACACGGAGTAACAACAAAGCCATCTGCCCTGGGAATGCACACATCCATCTTACTAAAGACAGCCAGTGAAGGAAAAGACAAAGGGGGGAAGAGAAAGGAGAGAGAGAAGCAATGAAAAAGAAGCAGTAGGGAAACTAGAAAAAAATAGAAATGTAAAAACAAATTTGTAAACATATGTATGGGCACGCTGCTGGTGGTGGCAGGGAGCTGCAAAAAGGTGAATGAGCAGACTACTGGTGTGAAAGAGTCCCGGGAACTATACACTTGTTTTCGCCTTTCTGCACAGATTAGATCTTTTCGTTTTTCAGCTTGCCTGATTGCACAGCTGCTGAAAGCCGCTTCCCTCGTTCACTATAGACGGTAAAAGCCAGTGGCATATGATTGGCTATAAACTAAACCTTGTGCTGAATGTATATGCCTGCAACAAAGTAACAGATGAGAGCATATGGTATGAGAGTATGTCTGGAAGTGGGGCATGCCAGAGCTGATGGAGGGACCAAGTTAGTAAGTGAAAGGATGAGAAAAATTAAGCCAATTTTAGACCAGAAATAAACATATTTATATCCTGGCACACACAAAAAACAATAATCTTTATCAGGGATGTGGCCTCTTTTATGTAAAGTGTAACAGGCTGCTAGGTGGACTGTTTAAGTGCGCCAGGAATAGCAATTCAAGTCACTGAACAGGATTGTTTTTCTATGATGTTGCTGTCTCTTGGAACATTTTTAATTCAGTTACATAACAAATAACAGGACTTGCGTTGGAGACTCTCCAGTGAATTTTCTTTTATTTATTTGTTAGCAGGTATCTGTGTCTGTAAAATGCACCCATACATGAATGCATCTTGCCAACCTAACTTGCTTTGACAGTGACTCACAATAGCTGTAAACACTGAACATCATGATCATAAAAATACAGGTAATTTTTTTTAACGAAGCTCTATAATTCATGAATCTGTTTGCAAAGCATAATGTCATCCTCATTTATTTTATTAAGCATGACATCAGGTGAGAGGACAGCAGTAAGTCCCAGCTCCCACTGTCATCCCTGCTTCATAGCCATCTGGATGTGACTCAAAACACTGCCGTCAGCATTCCGGGCTCAGTGATATCATCGCAGCATTTTCCATTTGTTTTTTTATTTTTTATTTTTAGAGCATTTCCTCATCGTTGTATAGTCTGAATATATATCCCACTTATATAGCGCTCTTAAACTCGCTTGCTTTCTCTCTGACTCTATATTACCTTATCAGACTGAGAGCTTTCAGTTGTGTTACCAGCCATTAGCTTTAGACAGTGGGTAGCTACAGAACAGAGTGAGGGAAAAGTGGCCTCCTGGTGGCTCTGGGTGATGTCAGCTGTAAAAAGGCCTTTTTGTAACACCAACTATCCGTGCAGGTTTCAAGGCACATGGTGCCTCTGTATAAAATGACCTTCAGCAATTTTCAAATACGTTTCTGATACAAATGCTAAGAGATTTCGTGTAACTAGGAAAAAGGCACTCAGTAACTGCACAAAGCTGCCCCATACCTTATCATACAAGGCTGTTGTACAAGTAGCACAACTAACATATGCTACATTTACACTGTTTCCAAATACGTTAATTTAGCTGGGTAAAGATTAAAAAGCAACACGTGCAGTATTGTCTAAGCGTCTTGAACCATCCCTCACTTCTTTATATTTTGTATCCAAGGAGCCAGACTTTCTTGTAATTCTTGTAAAAAGTAATGATGAGTATTAAAGCTTTTTCAAAGTCTTTAAAAGCCTTTCTGTGGACATGCTATGGCTGCTTTTTCACTCATTTTCAGTTCAGTCCTTGTACCTGACCATTTTTAAAGTTTTTGTGTTTTTTATGTCACATACTTTAGCACTGACCTATATGAGTCAAGCATAAAAAGACATCTAACTCAAGAGATGAACCTAAAGCAAAAGCATATAATAATTAGCCAACAATGTGGCATATCTCAGCATGGTGTGCAGTGTGTTCTTAACAAGGTTTGAGGAAATTGGACGAGTGGAGGACAAATGAAAGTTTTTGCATCTACTGTTTGCAAAGGCCTACATAAGAAGCCCTCTGAAGGTAGAAAAAACAGGGAGAAAAGGCTAAGGTAAACCAAATTACAGAAAACTGGAGTGAAAAATCAGTGGCAAAGGTATCATGTAGTGATGAATCCAAATTAGAAATTTTTGGTCATTAAGGAAGCAAGTGTTGGGGGGAGGGTTGTCAAGACTGGATTGGAATTATGAAGACAGAAAAGTACCATCAGATTTTTATCCACCCTGCAACATCATCTGGAACGTGTCTGATTTAAGCATGACACCGATTTCAAACACACTGTCAGTACAGTAAGTATATTAGTTTGAAAAACACACAATGAAACTCAATCAGTCATGGACTTGCCTCCCCAGAACTCAGACTTCAACATTATTGAAGTAGTTTGGGATTATCTTGACAGAGAACAGAACAAAAGGCCTGGAAAACTATTCCTAAAGACTACTCAAAGAAATTACAAGAAAGTTGCCTATAATAAGGGAGTTGAGATAAAGAATACCCAATACTGACTTTCAAGCTCATTAGATTGTACAAACTCTTTCTTTCCATATATACTGACTTTCCATGTATGTTTGCACATGTTTCAATAAATCACTGCAAATAGTTCCCATAGTTCCCCAAGCAAAACATAAACAAATGAGGCATGGCTCAAGAATTTTGCAGAGTATTACATTGTGTATGTAGATGCATCATGTGTTTCGCTGAGTTCTATAGATTAAATGAAAACACAAATCTATAATTTATAATCACTGCAATTATATAACAACTAGAAAACCGAATCGGTATATACCCATTACTTCCAGACAGCATTGCGGACCCCTGACTGAAACCAACCTGAAACATTCAAAGCAAGCGTCAAGCTTCGGTTAAAAGCAGAATGTGTGATTTACAGAAACATCACACTGAGAACAATTGTTCAGCTCTGTGAGTCAGTCAGAGTGCCCGCCGCGCACGATGACTGACGTGTTATTGGCAGATGGCTAGACTCCTGCCCTCCATGGGAGGCTTCCAAACAAACAGCTCCTGGTTACACTTAGGTGATTTTCACATCAATATCGATCAATTATTCACATATTTGTGCTATCTGAAGAAAAGCAGCTGCACTCCCTTTCATATGTGCTAGACCAGTATTCATTTTGTAGGAGGTGAAAGGAAGGAGCACCGCTATTCCCTCGCATTTTATCCCACATTTATAGTGAACTAAATTTCGCAACATCACAGCGTGATATAGAACTGTGATTAAGTGGGTCAGTGACTCTTACTGTCAGCATTACAGCCATTAGCTTTTATGGAAGAATACATCAAGTGCAATAGTTCTGTATTTGAGGTAACATGCGGAGAAGTCTGCTTTATCCATTTTTGAAATGTCTTTTGACATAAAACTGAGGTCAACCCTTAAACTTTTCTCAATGCAGTGAGCATTTGAAGTGAATATATAACACTTGAGCAACACTGTGTGGGTGTCTAAGCTATAGTACATGCTGGAGAGGAAGATGTGGCTGTAGCAAAGTGCTGTAGTTACACAAGCAACTGTGCTTTGTGGATTTGGCAGTACTTGAGGGTGATCTAGTTTATTATTCCTTGTTTAGTCAGCCTCTCTGGACTTTTTCCTTGAAGTGCTTTATATGAAGTATAAAGTAAAGCACTATGACACTATTTAAAATGAGGTTTGCTTTAGTACATACCATCACACACTTTCCCTCCCTCGTGTTACAGAGAAATATTAAAGCTGTGCCCCAAGGTCAACAGCAATAGCCCTCATTCTACCCATCACTGTGCCCTTGTGTTATTCATGGCCAGCACTATGAGAGGCAATGATTCTTTTTTTTTTTTTTTTGGGCCACTCCAATATCATTAAGTTATTAGTTGATTTCAGTGGATTTAATCAGCATAGTAATTCCTCTCCATGGGAAGATAAGTCCCTCTCAAGAGCAGTTACGCCGTCCACTATGCCCGCTGATTAGACACAAGCCCCCAAAATAATTCATCAGAAAACTGCAAAAAATAATTTATCAAAAGTGCTTCTCGCAAAGCCCGCTCAGGACCTTTGCTTCTTAATAATTAAACTCTGCAATTAGGCGTCTTACCATGCACCCAGTGTGAGGCTCCATGTAATATTCATAACCATACATAATTATGCAATATATTCACTGGAATAAGAGGCCATATATTCACGCCGGGGCTGTCAGGAGAAAAGACATTTTTATTTGGTTTATAACACTGTTTCATCTTATACATGAGCAGCTGGCTTCTTGAGACAGAAGAGAATGAGGACGTCTGGTCCTTAGCAGTGTGACACTGTATTCTATGATTCTGAGAAACAGAGAGAGGGTTGCAAAGAGAGGACAAGAGAGAGAGAGAGAGAGAGAGAAAAGGAACTGAGTTTTTCTTCTTTTTTTTGTGGGCATGCTCCAATGCCACAAATATCAAAGTCTGTTAACTGGACACAACAAAGACATACCTGAGTGGTATCATACACTGACCACAGTCAATGCAAGATACGGAAAGAGAGAAGAGGCTTTAAATTAAAATGGAGTGGAGACAGGGTGCTGTCTCAGGATCCACTGTATGATAAATTATACATAATGCAGTATGGCAAAAAACTGTAAAAAAAGAATAGTCCCAAAGCTCTTGATCATGCCTGAAGCAAATAAGCAACAGCAGCGGTCTGCAGTGGACATACTGTGGACAAGGTTGGCTTTCATCTTGAGACACAGTTCAAAGCTATGGGGCTACGCACAGAACAAACTAGCAATCAAAGCTCATGTGTAACTGGGCAGTGGTGCACTTCACAGAGCCTGTCGTCTCAAGTGTTGCGAAGATCACACACAGATGCCTCTTTCACATCACAATGGCTGATTTCTAACACACAGCCTTTGGTCCTTCTTATTCTTCACCATGGTAAATTATAGAGAAAAAAAACATACTGCTATTGAGACGCGCAGCTTCTTGAAGGCCACTCACGACATGTATATGCTGAATAAGAAGAAAAGCATATGTTTTCTTCCAACTTTGAAGAAAGGCTGCTTTTTGTCATTGGAAGTGGAGACAGTCTGATATTTGATTTAATAAAAACTGAAAGATAATAAAAAGCAAATGAAGAATATGCTATATATTCTGTAGTAAACGGGATTAACAGCCATTGAACATGAGATTATTTACTGCCAAAGCTATAATCAGACTCTTCGTACGGGGATTTCATAATCATTTCCCACCAGGTAATCGTAACGTGCACAAATTGTTATAATTTGTACATGCTGTATGATTAATGAACGCTGCTGTGCTTTATATGCAGCTCGACTACACAACAATATGTTTTGTGCATTTGAACTAAAAGTTCAATCGATGAAATCATTTATAGTGTTTGTATAAAGCATACCTCTGGAGTGAATCTCATGCAGATCTAAACAACTAATGTTGAAGTTTCAATTTTCTTCCTGTAAAAAGAGTTTGAAAAAGAAAAACACAAAAACTGGTAACCATGCAAAATTTTGAAGTCTTACTTCACATGCTAATAAACAAAGCTTGTGTGTGTGTGTGTGTGTGTGTGTGTGTCACAGTTCTATTCTTTTCCAGAAAACAATGACCTTTTCAAATATGACACAGTTTTACTGTGGGCATAATACAGATGTGATTAACATAAATAAGAGTTAAAGTCAAATAGGCGTAAAGGTCGTCACTCAGGACTAGTCTCGGGTCCACGAGGTGATTTACAACAACTTAATTTGACTGTGTGGAGTAATTTATCTGTGACAGAGCAAGCCGTGGAACTGTGCATGCCGCACGCACATGCAGGCAACAATATGCCATGACTGCACACATCCTATATCTACCCAATCAGTCAAGATGCTTTACAACTTCTGTCAGAGGGCCTAACAGTTCTCATAAATTATAAAGCCATTGTACATGGTGCCAATAACTTTTGAAGGAGAATCTCCACCAAACTGAAGCCAGTTTCTCTTCCTATTATATGTGGACATCAAGACGCAATTCTCCTGAGTTAAAAAAAAAATGTGGAAAAAAGCAGGCCAAATGCTTTGATGGTTGATTTGCTCTTAGAAAACTGTGCCAAAAAAACCTTCTAGGATAAAAACTCGTTCACATATTGACATTTTGATGCAAAGCAGGTGGCAGGCAGGTATGATTCTGTTAGAGATAACTTGCATTTCCTATCACATCCCTATTCCCTCCGCTGACTCTCCAGTTATGCTGTGCATCTGTGTCATCTGCAGATCCACTGTGACAGCTGGAGAATATGAGGTATGAATGATGCAGAACAATTCATAAACAGCAACAACAACGCAATGTGATAGGGACAGAAAAATGTGGATGTGGGTCTCAAGTCGGCAAGCAATAACGTGCTGTGATTTATTTCGAATGCCCCCTGTAGTGCCCACTGATATTCTGCAGGGAAATCACTCACTGGAGTGTACGGGGTTGCCTTGCATCCTCTGCTACTATCAATATGAAGATAATTGAAAGAGAATACATGTATGTACACAAAAATCATGTGCAGCTGTATAAGAGAAACATTTAATCTAACCTCCTGTCTGTTAGATAACTCTGTGCATATGTGAGTGTATATGGATGGCAGATGAGGGAGGTAGGAGGCCCGCTGTTAGCGCTGGATGCAGTGATTTCCTGGACACCGACAGAGTGAACCTCAAACTGAAGGGCAGACAGAGATAACCACCTGCAGGGATTCGCATCCTGCTTTATTTAGTCACCTTCGGAATTTCCTCCAGGGACAGAAGACGATATTGTGAAACCAGTGAATGGTCCTAAAAATCAAAGCCAATGTTCTGTAGGCAATTATAATGAAATTGCTTGAACCAACTGCAAGGCACATTCCCCAAGAAAGAAGAATGTCATTGTTTTGGTTGAGGTTCAGCTAGGTTACTCTCACCTCCATAAAAAGGGGGGAAAAAGTTTTTTCATAATTCATTCAGATATGTTCTTTTTTTAATAATTATATAAAGGCCAGCTCATGTAAAGCCAATTAAAAAAAATTTTTTCCTAATGGTAACATAAGTATGTATGATTCTTATTCTGTCTGAATGGTTCAAGATTGCAAACAACATGGGAAATATAAAGAGTGGTGAACAATGCCAGCCCTCAGCATGGCGCACCTTGATGTGCAGGTGCCTTTAATACTAGAATAAGTCATCTTAGATTAGGGAGTCAAAAAGAAAAAAAACTCAACCACATGCTCTCCATAAAGCACGCTATAAAGCTCTCCCAGATGTTTAGAGGTGGTTGCGGTTCCAGCGACATGCAATGTCAGGGAGGAACTGGTAATGCCGAGTGTATTAGCGGTCTCTTTATGGGTGCATTAGGTGCTGTGGAGAGGAACATGGGGGCTGCCACTGATCTCCTACCAGGCTTTATGCTTTGATGAACATACCCTTGAAAAACAGGGACATCTGCGACCGTGTTCTGCCGAGCTTGGAAGACGCCTCCCTCTCTTTAGCCTCCTGGAAAACATAAATCCACTTCTCATATCATCATCTAGTCATATTCAATGCATATGAAGCGCTAATCAGTTAATCTGTCAGCTTTCTCCCCTTTCGGTGATATATCAGATTTGTAATACTCTCCCACATATGCAGTAAATCTCTGACAAAGCCCGTGTTTTTGAAATTCAGCGATGGGGCTGCGAGAAGTGAAGAAGTTCACTTGAAAACAGATACCAGGGAGAGTGGAGCACTGAAAGCTTCAGCGCGCTCCCATGTGTCATCTCTCTCCCTACCACTAAACAGTGGCCTAGACAGGAAGCCAGAATAAATTTCCCCAGTTCATTGTCCCCGCTGAGGACTAGCAGAACATCTCAGTCTGATTAATGGCTGTACACTGTCTAATGAACAGTAATTGAATGGTATAATACTGCAGGTCCTTAAAAGCCCAGAGGAGTCGTCGTCCTCCGCTTAGCTCTCTGGAAAAGCAAGGCGGTGACATTGTCTAGAGTTGATTATAGTTGACCTTGCATGTGGAGACTTAGGTCTATGAAATGGCTAACCTAAGCTTCATGGAAGAGCAGCAGGAAAACAGATGAAAGACAAATGCAACGGAGAAAGAAGAGGAATGGATCAATGGTGTGGTCAATATTGATTTGATTTTTTTTATCACAAAATTCTTAAGGAGAGGAAGGCAATTGATCAAGCATACCTAGTTTCATTGGCATTTCCAACAATATTAATTAAGAAAAAATGCTTAGCCGACTGGCTGATAAATCAGCCGATACTGTTAAATCAAAACAAATGATAATTGTGAACACAATATTACACTGGTGAGTACAAATCTACCCTTGTCCACATTTCCTCAAAGTGTATGACATCTAAAATACAGACAGAGTAGGCCGTCATGAAATCAATCAGATCCTTAACAGAGTGCACTCTAAAGGAAAAGCCAACCTGCAGAGAGCCCAACAAAAGTCAGTGGAGTGAGTGTAAGAGCAGCTTTGATAAATGTGCATCAAGCTCCAGCCCGCCATCCTTTGCTTCCTAACACCAAGATAGCCTGTGTTCACTCTCAGCGGACATCTCCACTTGGCAGAGACGCTGAATCTCGTTATTCTTTCCTTGGCCTGGACCACACAGGTCAATACCACATGCACAGCACCGCCTCACCGCTGTACTGTCTGCAAATGTATTCACTATTTAAATGCACTGCAATAAATCATTTAAAGCTTCAACTGAAAATGTAATCATGTAATTGAATTTGGTCATCAATATCTACCATATACATGCACGTATACAGAGTACACGGGGCATTTCACGAGCATATATGAGCACCGGAGTGGGAGGAAATCTGTCTGGACTCAGCTGAAAGTATGAGTCATAGCAGTGCAGTTATCCCTCATTATTATTCACAGCCCTCTAAATGATGAGGTTGCTGACAACGAGACAGCGACAGCTTGTTTGGCCTCAGTGGGAAAAAACAAGTATGAGTATGCATGAAGGATGATTAGACGTTAGGTAAGGTAAGTCTTACCTGCAGAGCTATTATTTTTGGCTTGACAAAGGCATTTAACTATAATGTAAGTACAGTGCTGATAAAACATTAATGAACATAAACAAATCAAAGTTTGGTAAGGCAGCCGGTCTGATTAAAAGTGCTGACACACTTTTACTGCAAACTAGAGTTATTTTTGCTTAGGATTTGTTCTTTCAGCTAAAATTCCATCTTATGCCACTCTCCATTCGCTGACAGATCAAAAGCTACTTGGCAAGATGATTATTGCAAACATAGCTGAGTCCATACAGGGATTATCATTATTATTATTTCCCATTATCTAATGGTCACTCCACCCAATCCATAGTAAATCTGAATCAGCAAAATTCATGTATGACTAAAAGTGATAAGTAATGAATTAAGCTATTGATGAGGTCTTTAGCCAGGGTCATAACCGACCCCCAGAAGTCAATAATTATCCCACGAAGAATATCTTTATTGCAAAAGTGCATACGGCAGCAAAATCATCACCACACCAAAACATTCCCCTACGGTGTAATTGCCACTGCTTAAAATTATAGTTTTCATTAAAACGAAATGTTCTAGGTTATTGATTGCTTAAATAAGACTCAATATCTTCTCATTTCAAAGCCGAATGAAATTGCATGGAATAGTAATATCACCCAACTATTGTGTGCATTTATCACAGTTACACGGCTTCATATCGCTGTCCCTCGAGGATTATTAGAGCAAAATAAGTTTATTTAAATGAGCGTAATTTCGGGGGGACCACAGATCCGTGCAACAACATCTGTATACACAGCTCACTCGCCACTTCATCAATGTTAATGCGCACAATAACCAGAGTAAAGGACAGACATCAAATACAACTGCATATTATTATTATGGGCCTCTTTTTCAACCATGAAAACTCCATGATTTGCAGTATCTGGGGGCGACAGCTTGGCTCTAAACGCGTCCTACAAAAACGTAACTGAGACACAGGTAATTTAAATCCTTTGTAGTACTAGTAATGTGTTCTGTACCTTTTAATGTTCCCTTCTGCCCCTTAGAAAGATTGTGTTAGTAAATAGCAAATACACCAAAATAACCATGGAGACAGAAAAAAATGTTACACGTGCATTAAGTGAAAGTATAGTTGCTGAAAGCAGGTCTATGTGACCCTATTGCAATTATGGAAATGATCATTACCATAATTGCTGGTTAGACCATTTTTTATGTGACCTAATCCAAAAGGAAATGAGAAAATTGGACATAATAATAAAGTAAAAATGAACTGAATGTGAAATACTAACTGCATTAAACTAATAATAAGTGTACTTACATTTTTCCCGGAATCTGTGGTGGAAGACCTTTGCGTACTCGAGTCATCTGAATCACGGAGGGAGGCCTTGCAGGAACTCGCACAACGATTCCCATCTTCATACTCCTCTTCAACTATCTTGGCCTCAACCTGCAGGGAGGGGAAAAAAACACACAAGATCCCCTTTGGCTTACACTGTACTGTAGTGCTATATTGATTTTACAATATTTATATATTTATGTAGCTTGTTCTGCTGAGCATTCATGAGCCCTTATTCTGAGCAGAAAATAGTATTATACTGTACTAGAAGTATATTCGCAATTCCGTTTGATGTTGGGAAACATACAGAAAGGTAAAGCTTAATAGGAAGAACACCGATGGGGGTGAGAGAGGTTACTAAAGCTGCAGGCACGTCTTTCATCTAACCCTTTCATTTTACATCAAATGCAAACAGCTTGTTGTGATGATCAACTTGTATACTTTAGTGTGTCTCCAACGACGAGCTGTAAAAATTATAATAACTGACATATAAAGCGTAATAAAATCCGCAAGGAGCCAAGGAGCTTTACATGTTTCTCCATGTTCACGTGGGTTATGTTTTTCTCTGGCAGTGCTGTGTTTTCACACTCAAATCACTTCTTATTTCCTGTCTGATATCAGACCAAGCTGTTAAATAACTGTGCGCTTTAAGGACCTCATCAGACTGTAGCGCTACAGTATGGGATTATGTTTTACCTGATCAATTGGCAGATCCACCTTCAACTGGCGGTCTTCCTGCACCTCTGCTGCTCCTGCCATCTCACTCCTTTTGTTTTGTGCATTGAACACGCTGCCCTCTGAGAAAAGTGATTAATCACAATTACCTCATCTGCTGGCAGTCGCCGTCTCATTCTTCTACACACTCGCTTTCTCTCTCCTCTCTACTCCTGTTCAACTTCACAAGAGATCAATGTTGCTGTCAAGCCATTTATTTATTTATAGTGGTCCCCCAGACTTAAGGGCCACAGAAAGCCACAGCTGCCCTGCCACAAATATGGCCAGCCGGCGTGAACTTTTGGTCCAGGGTTACATCCTGACAGTGACAGGCTGCTCTTGATGCATGTGGGGACGTGCCTCATACAGCAACGTCACCCTTGTAAACAAATTCCTTTTCGTCTGCTAGATCTGATACGGTGTAGAATGTGAATAATGAAACATGCTCTTGAACTTAAATCTACTTCAATTGCCCTAAGTAATTTAATTTAAATAATAAATAACCACACATGCAAGATTTATCATCGAAAACACTAAAAGACAATGTAAACAAAAAATGCCTCTGCTTCATGTGTTAAGTGAAAAGAGACATTTACACAACCACAAAAAAGCTTAGAATTACTTTTTTGTCTAGAAATCTATAAAAAGTCTTAAATCTCTGACCTCATTCCAGATTAATCTTGTGAACACTGCACAGAGCTATTGTCTGTATGAAGGGTTTTAAGAGCTGATATAATTATAAAGAAGACATAAAACTTTGCTTTTTAACTTTAGGGACTTTGCTAATGTGGTTACAGATACAGTAGTAAGCAGAAATGTGTCCTGAGAACTGAGTATCTCAGTCACAACATATGAAATCATGGCAGGATTCAAACAGTAGCAATTAGCCTGCGAATGCTACCATACCAGTATGTGTTTTTCAAGTGAAGCAATCGTACTACTGCGCACAGATGGCACAACAACAACTGCATGAGTAGATACAGACAGTGTTATTATTATTGATATACTGAGTATCACATTTAAAGCACACAAAGAATATTTGTCTTTACTTCTGTCAGTGTTGCTTAAGATTAATAACTCATTACCATCTTGATTCCCGCATCAAGAGAAAATAAGAGCATTTTTGTTTCCCCCTAGATAGTTAACCAGGCTTTCAGGATACGTATTCAACAAAATGGCCTGATTGAATTCATCTATGATTTAAGCCCCCTTGATAGTGTTTGAAGTCTTTTTCTTTATTAATATTCACAGAAAAGAGCAGTGTTCCTTTGAAACGGCGCACAGCTCTGTTCTGTTTGGACTTAAAAAGAACAGGCTGAGATTCCAAAGAAATCTCCTTCACCTGCCAAATGGCAGATTTTCTGCATTATCAGCACAGACTAGGAGTTACATCTCTTTACTTACACACACAGAAGACTTACAAATGTACAGTTGCAAACACAAACATGCTTTACACAAAGCGCATAGATGGTCTTCAAAATCCAACAGGTTTCTTTCTGTCATCATAGCGAAGAAGAAAGTGTTGAAGAACAACAACAACAACAAAAAAGAAAGAAAACAAAAACTCTGCGGACAGAGGGGCTAGAGAGCGAGGCAGTAAAGACAATATTTCTATAGTGCTCTGCTTACCCACTGGGGGGAAGAGAACTGGGTTCTTGGACACCTGCCCTTGTTGTTTGGTTCTCTCTGCCTTGGCTGTGAGTTTCTTTGTCTGGCCCCTGGCTGTGTGCTCAAGGTCTTCTCCAGAGCTTGTCTGAGCAAACCACATGGAGGTACAAAAGAGAGGAGAGCAGAGAGGCCCGGATTAAGGTATATGTCCTCACATTCGGTCTGTGATTCATCATTGACTTATCGCTCGTTTTGTAAAGAGGAAGAAGTAAAACAAGAAAACAAGACAGGAAGGCTTGTTTCTCCTCTCTTTTCAGCAGCTTTTTTACATTTTCCATTGACCTCAATTTTTCATGAGCTGATATGTTTTGTAACTCCCCGCTGACTCCTACTGTATTGAATTCATCTGGTTCCAATACATCCCGTGCACAACCTATCAATCACTAGGGAGCGTGGCAAACTAATCATTTATTGATGAAATAGGGCAGCCATGAATTTCTAACTGCATTTGTCTTATTTATCAACCCAGATCAAACAATGAAAATCCAAACAAGCTTAAAGGGAAAAGGAGGGAGTCGTAGGGAATAACTTATTCTTCAGCAGCAGACAGCAGAAGGTTATTGATGGGGAGGGGAGGAAAAAAAAAGGTTTGGGACTCAGTTGCATGGTGGGAGAGCAAAGGAGTGAGAGAGGAAGAGAAGAGAGAGAGAGAGCAGTGGGGAGAGTTCAGTGATGTTCAGACAGCAGGGTACACATCTGAATTAATGCTTCCACAAAAGGCAATTTTCTCCTCGCAGGCTCCTCATCCCCTCCGCAGGTAGCAAGGTGAGGTATGTCTCCCTTACAGAGAATGAGAGACACAGACATAGAGATCGAGAGAGAGAGCTGACTTAATGTGACTTTTCAGCTACAGTGCTCTTTACTGCAGGATCCCTGGGCTGGCTCGGGGGATAGTGTAGTGATCTCGGGCTTCCACCAGAATACACTTCTGGCAGTGGTGTTTGCAAGCTCACTAACATGGAGTCCGGGGAATAGCGGCGTTGTTTCTGCACTTGTTTGCTTACTTTAATGCAGAGGCAAAGTCTGTTGATATTCTTTTGAATTTATACAGCCGTTAGTGGGCTGAGGGAGAAAAAAAAAGTAAAAGAACAAAAGAAGTGTGAAGTTTGGCTGCTATAGTCAGAGGAGGAGAGTTGAAAGAGAGTTCATGTTCTAGCGCGGCGGTGTCCGCGGCCGCATGAGATCAAAGACAAAGGAGCAGTGGCACCGTCGCGGTGATAAGCTGCTAATTCAGCTCCTGTAACCTCGGTTCATCTGCGAGTGATGTGAAACAACTTTGCGATAAAGTTTTAAATCAAACTCTATCTGGCCCATCAAATATTGAGGAGCTTGTTTTCTTGCTTGTGGTGAGATGTAAATAGATGGTATTTAAATAAACCGAGCTCAATCCAAAGCTGTCTCGCTCAGGGAGAGTGGCAAGCAGGGCACAGGGGAGGAGAAAGCAGAGGACGAGGGGTGCTGAAGGAGCCGGAAGATTGCAAAAACAAGCAGCAGCAGAAGTAGAAACACGGCAGTGGAAAAGCTGAGGTCATACAGTATAGCCTCTCGGTCTGCATTACATATCTACAGTACCAGGTCCTGCGGGAGCAGACAACTGTGTGTGTCATCAGGCTCCAGAGAAATAGAGAGAGAGAGAGAAAGACAAAGAGAGTGCTAGAGTTAGTGTGAAGGGGGCTCAGGAGGGCTGGACAGCAAGTAATCTGTGGCTCTCTCGTGTGGCCAAAAACTGGAGTCAACAAGAGGACACGGTGATATGATAGCCAGGGGAAAAAAGGGGGTCCTAAACAATTGGACTGACCAGCCTCCAGCCATACTGACTGTGATATCAGTCTGAGCCACTCCCAGGGCCGAGTCCTCAGTGAGTAGACACACTGGCAGCAGCGAGGGGGTAAAGTCTTCCTCGGGGCATTGCTATTTCCCCTAACCAATGAGCTCATACATGGGAAACAGAGGAAACGAGGAGAAGCAGCAAATCATCAATGATGTCAGAAAGCACAGATATTAAAGGTTTAGTCAGCCTTTCTGGGCTTTTTTTTTTTTTTTTTTTTTTTTACACGGGGCTCTTTATGTGAAGCACATATAAAGCACTGCTTAACTGCCATAATAACGATTGCCATAATAACTAAGTGTACTGCACGATGCACGCCGTTGTTCTCTTTTTCGCTTTGTCTCTTTGTATTCCTCTCTCCCCTATTAATCTTCTCTTTATGCTATGTCTACCTCAAAAGTTTCTACCTCATCATGTCTGTAAAACACTTAACTCAGCATATACAGCATGCTTGCTTCCAATGGGAACACGATGTGCTGGAGAGTTTCATTATTACACTCTGCAGAGCTGTCAGTTTAGTCGGTGGTTGCTCCACACCAGATGTCCCGTCCAGCAGTGCAGAAACGGGTCCGCCGCCGGTGCGGACAGGACAGACACGGCTCCCGTGCAGAGCAAGGTTACATTTTACACAACCTCAGTGGGCATGTTTAAAGGGTCTTTTTTTACGGGCGTTTCAAATCAGACTGCTGTTGTTTTGTGAGGTCAAACTGAAATTAATGATGGACACGACCCTATAAATGTACGTGTAATCAGTAAGCTAAACAGCTGACAGATCAAGACAGATTGGGTAATTTTTTGTCACTTGCATATCTCCCCCTCTGAAAGGCCCTTATTAACTGGTCAGATCATGTTTACAAATTCATGAGGGATCAGACACAGAGGCGAGGAAAGTAAAATGTGGCAGCCTCATGTCTAGTGAATGACTAACACTACACTGAAACGAAGGTTGCAAAACACAGGCATAGCTCTGTCTCTGTCTCCACCTCATGGTACTAAGTGAAATGGCAAAAGTTGTGGTTGTTGTGTCTTATTAGCTAATGTATCAGATAAGCAAAGTTGCGTAACAATGTAATTTTCATCTACTGCTTTATGGCTGCATAGCTGTTAATATAATGAAGAGATCTTTTATATATAACTAATAAATATTCAAATTATTTCTAAATTCAAAGGCAATCCAATGCAGATAAAGCTGGAGATAAAGCAAGGGACATTTTTCTATATCTAACAAAAATTGACATCTGCCAGAGCACTGCCATCTTTCATGGTTATAAAAATCACATGTCAGGCACATTTGTCACAGTGGGGCCCATCTCTACCTAGACCTGCTGAGTGGGCATGTTCTCATCTTCATCACGTGATTTGGTGTTCATCTCGGGCCCACAGCAGCGCAATCCCCGTATGGGTTCGCAGCATTTCACTGTCAACTTAATCACAATACAAATAGTCCCAGCTCTTGTTTGAATAAGAGATTTCTTTTTCTTTTAGTTTGCTGTAAACGAAGTCCCCCTTGTGCATATGATCTGTCTATGAGGCTCACTGCACTTGATCAAGTGGGCCAGCCTGTCTCTGTGGGAATTACCCATCAAACTGGAAAGCAACGGTAACTCAATGCCTCCTGCAGACAGTGATTGATGATAGTGGTGTTTCATAACGAATTGCGCCCCCATAACAAGTCTCACACGTGGGAAATGTTAATTGAAATGCTGTGTGTGCAAAGATACGCTTTTCAACTGTGAGTCTAACAAAGTGTTACAACAATGACCCGGAGGGAGTTCAGGGGGAAAAGGGTACCAATTTAGCACGTTAGGAGAACGTGAAGGACCAGATGGCAAAGTGCATCAACACTCACCACATTCTTTGCATATCTTTTGATTTTGGTACTGGGCAGGATGCCTTGGCTGCAGGGAAGGAAAGGAAAAACAATACTGACAAACACATTTTTGCTTTCTTTATCGAAATAAAATCAAATCCAGTGTTTATTCTGGACATATAGAAAAAGCCATGAAAGATCACATCTCGTACCCTTCAGTCATGTTATTTTCCCTAAGCAAATCCCTCCTGGGGACACACTGGTAATATGGGAGAGCCTTAAACTTTTCTGAACCGACTGCAACATAGTAGTGGTTGTTCTCCAGTTCAGTGGGACCGGAGACAGGGTGTCCGTTTAATGTGCAAAGCCTGAAAGCTCAAATAAAGAAAAACAACTCACTGCAGTAATGTTTAGTGATAGTTTCAGCTACGTCTTTGCCTGAATGAAATCTATTGAATACATCACAACCACACATGGTCTCGATCTCTAATTAATTGCAAAAGTCCCTCTACTCTCCTTCCCAAGTATCATTTTTTTGCATTTAAATTGACTGTAAAGTGTCCACTAATCACATTACGTTCTAAATTAGAAGGCAAGAGGAAAACAACCTTCACTGATACTCCAGTTAACTAGTTTAAAAATGATGTATGACTAAATGTCCTGACATTACCTGAAAACAGCACCCGTGCGAAGACGCACTTTCTCTGTCACCATAGCTAAAACGTTTTCCCAGCTTCTAAGGGTATACTTTGGGATCCGTATTCGAGCCGGAGGAACCAGCACTTCTCCGTTGGTGAAGACGCTATGAAACAAAACACGACACACAAAGATCCATGAATAAATAAATGGAATTGTTTCTTGCATTGCACAGCACGGCAGAGAACATTATTCTTTTAACACCGTGGAAAAATATGTATGCAGTTTAAAATCAATACTCACTTTATTGTGCAAGACTCATCAGCAGTTCTCTTCCAGCGGGCAGAAACTACTATCCTGCTGTGAACAACAGGTTGGATCTGAAAATTTCATAAAGGAGGAACTGAGTGGTTTTTTTTTTTTTCAGCACGTCACTCAAAATCTAATCTTATGTGTCTGGACAGGACCTTCATGAGCATCAGCATTCAGGCAGAATGGTTAAACTTAAAACAAGGACACGTGAAAAAAGTTTCACTATAACTGACCACACACACAAAACATTGCTCCTACCTGTTCTTTTTTCTTATTTTGTGGCTTCTTGGCTGCTATTTCACAATAACTTGAAGGCAATAAAAAAATCAAATTACCTTTAGGTACAAGGAAACTTATGCAAGGATGTGGGTGTAAGGCATCTTTAGATCTGATAAAACTAATTGAAATCAAATAGTTATATATGTAAAAGTATGCTCAAGATCAGTGCTCTGCTGACTAGACTAAAATACTGGGTCCAAAAGATCACATTTAAAGACAGATTAGACTTTATTTAAGATAAGCTGACATATTCAGAGCGTTTTAATGAATATTAAGTACCAAATCCCCTTGCCAACAAATGAAGCTAAAGAAAAAACCTGTAGATTCCAGTATATACAAGTAAACTCAGACAGGACACCCCTAAAACATGACACTTACTTCAGTTTCTTGAACGCCTCATTTCCGGCCGCGACATACTCACTCCCGTGCTGAAGGTCATCCAGATGGTGAACTTGGTGGCCTTGTGTGGCGGTGTAGAGCCTCCTCACAGCGCCAAAAGGTGCTTCAATCCCTTTGGTCAGAGATGTCAAAAAGTTGTCAAAGTATGGCACGTACCGCGGATTCACAACTACTTTCCTGCCGGGAAAATAGGCATCTCCGTTCCTGTAGACGACGATTATTTTTGTAGGTGGCAAGTCACTTCTCCCTGTTGTGCTGGGCATACTTGTGTTAGCTAATGGGAACGATTTCAAACAACAAACAGCGGTGGCCCTTGGTGTCAGAAGTTAATGTGTCAGCTCTGTTGGCCTCCGGAGACGTAACTGGAGACAGCTTCTCAGTTCTTCCACATGAGAGGTGTAGTGTTAAGATACGTATCCACGTCTCCGTCGTATCTTCTATTGTGTAGCTAAGGTTAATTTAGTGTTCGATACCAAACCTCTGGTGCTACCAAGGCAACCAGTGGGGTGACCCAAGTGGGTTTTACATATTTAGCTAAACCACTCATAGGTCTGTATTAAAAAAACAAACTCATTTTTAATTTTCATTACCAGCTGGCTGATTCATGGTATTTAACGAGAAACTAATTGACACAACACAGCGGTGAATTTCATTGCTTAATAAATTTATTAGGCCACTACCCAATGTAAAGTACGCTGTAACAAAGCATATGTCGTTTATTTTTTATTATTGTTATTATCTTCATTTTTTTAGATCCCAAATTGCTGTTATTTACTTTCATTCCTGAACAGACAGAAATGTTATGGTGAATTCAATTCAGTACTTTTTAGCTTTAAACGTGTTTTCAACACATTTCTATTTTCCCCCTTTTTTTCTTACGTTTATGGCATATTATAAATGGGAGTAACTGCGGGTTCAGAAACTTGCCCAAGGATACTTTGGCATGCATAATAACTTTTTTAAGCACTGTACATCCTTTTGGGATGCAGTTTTTTCCCAGGTTTAATCCGCTAATATAAAACACATTTACTGTTTGACTTCAATCTTCTCTCAGTGTTTATTTATATACACTCATAACATATGTAAATGTTGAAAATAATGAAATCTACACATATTCTGTCTGACAAAGCCAACTGAAGTTTAGCACAAGGCTACTATAGATCTTTCCTCATGATCCATGCCATATGGTTTACCATTTATGCCCTCCTCCAAAATCTATTGTAAGCGTATAACGGTGATAATAAATATAATAGAAAGCCAAAGAAGTGTATTCTTTTTTGAAGAAAACATGTATCCCATTCAAATTTTTGACAGACTCCTATTGTATATTACAACTGTAGCAGAGTGACTGCAGCCCCTTCACTTTTAGACAGAGCTGTCCAAACTGTTTACTACAAAGGTAACCAGAGATTGCTGCAACAATGGCACTTAATTGGTTTATGGCGGACAACTCCTGGTCAATTAAATACATAATTCATCTCAGCATTAATTATTCATTTCTTAAGGGACTGGTGTTCTGCTTTATTAGGAGAAATGCATCATGCATATTCAAATTCCTCTTCTTAGAGGGATGCAATAGGATATCATCTCAGCTGGGACACCCATCCTAAAACAATAGCTGCCAGGGCCGCAAGACATCTCCTATTAGTCACACAACCAAACCGTTGGAGGATTTTCAAAGATGAAAATGTCAAACTAATCTAAGGTATGTTATATCTTGTTTCTGTCATTCAGCAAACAATAGGCTGTCATATTATTGTCATGTGTAATCTGTTATTTTTATTTTAAACTTTAGGTGGCAAATTATTTTTATATAAAAAAAAACTGACAGCATTAATTTAACACTACAAATCGAGAATATGTCAATGTGCTTAGTATGTGATCAGGTTTTAGTCATTGCATCAAATGGTTTTCAGAATTTTATGCAAAGTCATAAAAGTCTCCAGCAATTAGTTCTTATCAGTTCTTAGCCAGGATACATGTCGTAGGGTAACTGTGATTCAAATTGTGCTTAGCCAAAGTGTGATATGTCATGTCAGGAATCAAGGGGAAGCAGTGGGTGAGTTTCCTTTGGCGCTCTTAAAGGTCAGTGCCATCCATTTTAAAACTCCCATTTATTACAGCACACTAAGGTGCAGAGTGAATGTTATAAAGATGTAAGGTGACTCCGGTGTAATTGCATTGCTCGCTGGATAATACATGAGAACCTTACCGTGTTCACTCGTTAGGATGTTTGCATACTTCAGAAGGACATTGTCGCAATGATTTGACTTTGATATGATTCATGTTTAACATATTTAGCACATATACCAATTACTGCTTGGTATTTATGCAGTGCTACAGAACAGCCTAAAATCAACCTAATAGAAGAACAACTGTAAACATTAAAATTAATGAATTTCCTGGCTTCTGCACTTTTAGCATGACAGTTATTGTTTTTTTTGTAACACCTGTGCTTTCCTTAACATAACAGATAAAATGTGGAGCAGCCACTGACTTCAGTCCCCTGTAAGGGATTTTTGCTGTAAGATGAGCTTTCGCCCACTGGGTGGCGATGGTCCATGTGGAAATTACAACAGAAAAGTAATTATTTTGTTATTTTACAATAATATAAAATGGGTCACTTTAATGATTAAAACATAATGTAAGCCATATAAGTATTTTGCGACATGCATGTATACATGTTCATGGTCGCCAGTCTATTGCAGGGCTAACTCACAGAGACAAATAGCTGTTCACACTCACATCTGACCAATTCAGAACCAGCAGTTAAACTAGCATGCACGTCGTTGGACTGTGGGAGGAAGCCTGGACACCAAGAGCCCAACTTCTGCACACAGAAGCCAGCCAGTGGATTCAAACCGAGAACCTTGTTTCTGTGAGGTAGTAGTGTTAACTCCTGCAGCTTTGTGTTGCATCATTTATCGTATATTTCTTCCATAAGTTTGCTTTAACTGCTGCAGTAAATAAGCGCAACTAGTTCAAGAGCAAAAACTAATGTGCAAAAAAATTATTTTTAAACTATGTATAAATGTTTATTGCACAGCACATGAATGTGGAATGCATGCTGTATTCTGTTCCTCTGATTAAATTCACTCAACTGGAATGTCTTTTAATTGTATTTTTTTTTTCTACACAATCCACAGCTCTCTATATTTGCTTATTTACACTGTTTGTCTATCGTACTGCTACAAATATTGCTCAGTGGATTTTCTGAATTAAATAAAAACTCAGTTCCTGGCATGCTTTTGGAAACACTAATTTATTTCAGTATGTATCAAGGACGTAAAAAAAAATATTACAAACATTTGGATATTTTGTATGTTCAGAAAATAAATAGCTTATTAGCTCATAAGCAAAAAGGAAGTTGAAAGTATACTACTTTGCACAACTTGCGTATCATTTCGTATTCATATTTACAGATAGAGGATACAGCAAAATAATAAGATTACAGTTTTTGCTCCATTACATTTGTCCAGTCTGCAGTCTGTTTAACATATACTGGCCTCAGATGTTGTCCTTGTCAAATTCACAAACAAAATACATTGTCGGGTGGCACGCCACATCAGTCCACTCCCCAGAGGTCACCATCTCAGCACAGTCCTCATCATCATAGGCATTGTTGGGTTCTCCTTTTCTCCATTTGCTGAAAGTGGTCATGGGAGAGTGATCTACGTAGGTGAAAACACCTTCGCGCTCGAGGTCATGAATGCCAATGTAAACTCTGCTCAGGCCAGCATCGGTTATGTACCCTGCGATGGCTGCGTTTGCTCCCTCATCCTTCGGCATGACCAGGTGCCCTCCCCTCGTCTGGCAGTAGCCCTCAGCCTCGGTGTAGCGCTTCGCTTCCTTCACCAACAGATAGACTTTACTGTCTGTTTCCTTAATGCCAGCAACAGCTGCAGGGGAGGGCAGTGCTGAAAAATGAGCACTTGTATTTCTATAAATTTCACATTGACATGCCCGCATTTTCAATTCTATAGGACAGGAAATCAGCAAAATACCAAAACTGATAAATATTTTTTTTAAAAAACAAAAGCATTTTTAAAGACTGCAAATCTTTTACCATTTTTAATGAATTTTAGTTCTGAGGAAAGCTGAGCCACAAGAATGTCCATTTCTCCAATCATCCTTCTAATTGGCGCACACTCACAGGGAACCCCTGATAAGGCAAAAATGTGTGGGACTATCACAAAGTTGACTTTATTCATTTACAGATGTGTCTGTCTAATCCTGCTGCCATCTGTTTGACAAACAAAATAAGATGGTTTTAGAACCCACCTGGCTCTCCGTCTGGGCCCCTTGTACCAGGGTCACCTGGATCTCCCTTGGATCCTGCGTCAGAGATGTAAATATTTATCAATCATAAAAACACACTAAACAAATAATTGATGCATTCCTGAAAAAGTGTGCAGACAGTACATCTCTGCTTCTTATAGCACCTTTCATTCCACTTGGGCCAACTTTTCCATAACGTCCCATAATGCCTTTGTGTCCTTTGACCCCAGGTGGACCTAAAAAGAATGCAACATGAGTAAATTGTTCATATGAAGATAGAGACATACTGTATATCTTATAGTCAAGACAAACTTAAAACAGCACAAATGAAAGCAAAATTATATATATTAAACAATAAATCTTTACTTTCACTAAAGGTTAATTAATTAAAATGATGAATATGCTTCAGAGAACACCCTTCACTCCTCATTAAGGTCTTCCATAAACACTTGTCCACAGCTCTGGATTCCACAAACCATTTCTCATTTGACCTCTTACTCTAATATAAACACTTGACCATTTCTGGATGGCCTGGTAGTGATGTAACGGCACATTATCAGCCCGAGAAATGTGATCTTTACCCCAGTTTTTCTTGTATTAGTGGTAGTAATGAGAAAATGAGGAGATCTATAAATGTGGGCATGTGGAAAATATTCTCTCTTTAAAGATTTGCATTTTAGGGGAATGCACTTTTACTCACAAAACAAACAAACACATTCTATAATATATTTTTTTGGTGCAACTGCATAAAATATACCAGTCTCCCCTGGCGGACCAACTCTTCCTGGTCTCCCAGGTGCTCCCTTTTGTCCTTTTTCTCCGGGTTCTCCTTTTAGAGCAGAAGAAAAACAATTATTATATCAGATAGAGTCTATTCTTGGTTTTTAAGGTGTCTGGTATGCATTTTGTAAGAAAGAACAAAGAGCTACATGCCTTTGAGTCCAGGGACAAGGATCTGAACAGTGCAAGACTCCTCTGGCAAGTGTTGTCCATATGATGTCTGCATTGGTAATAAACTCATCACTACAGACATTAGTATCATTGGCAGTAACAGTTTCTCACCGGTCATTCTTCTACATGGGATGATTAGGGGGCTATGCTGGAGAAACAAAACAATTTAAGGAAATGCTAATATAAAAAAATCATTCATAAAAAGCAAGGCTTGGTTTAAATGTATCTGTATATTTCAGAATTAAAATAGTGGAATTAGAA